GCTTCCATCAAGACCACCTAGTGGTGACGCCCAGGAGAATCGGTGTGATCACTGCGGTCCCTTGTGGAGTTCTCTGAAACGTATGATCTGGGCATCCGTTTAATATCATCTTTGCGGCCAATTCAGGAACTATAGTAGTTCAGTGAAGTGAAAAAATTTAATGGTTTTTACCAAGAACGAAGCTCATCTCAACAGACCCTTATGCATTTTCATTTTTCGCGTAAAAGGTTTCTAAAAGTTTTATCAGAAATAATTTTCATTACAATTAAAAACAAGATCAAAGCCACCTTAATAAACCAGTATTTACTTACAAACAATTATATGTTTAGTGTAATTAGTGGAATAAAAACTATAAGAGTAGCCTAATAAACTTTTTTTAACTACCAAAATCAAAGCAACAATGATATTATTTCCTACATAAAATATTTGGTGTATAGGGGTGTTAACCCAAACACAAAGATTATTTGCTTCGTGGTATGTTTAAACTAGCTGTTGTACCCGTGGTTTGCAACCGGAAGAGGGGGCGGAATAGAAACATTTTTATATTTACATCTTTTGTATAGAACACTGACAAATCCGCGACTCTTAAAGAAAAAATATCCAACTGAACCGTCTCGTTTGATGAATGTTTGTGGCCTTTAAATCAGATAAGTAGTGAAAATCGTAATTTTAGTTGGATTTATTTTTAATCTTGCAATATTTCTCAATATCATTTTCATAAACTTGAATCCCATTCATCTCCCTCATTTACTTTTTTCTTTATTTTCCCAATTTTTTATTTAAATCTTTAAGTTTCAAAGCTAATAGCTGTTTAATAAAAAAAAAAACAAACATTATTATACGTACCCACACCAATATCCTTTAAATCAAATTACAAATCCTTTATTGTCCATTCTCCACTCACAATAAATCATTAAAACCCAAACATTAGCTGATATAAACTACAAGTAAGTTAATTTGCCTTATCAACAGTGTTTTTCAATATATTGTAGAAACAATATTTACTATTAAAAATTTGAAATTGTTAATTTACCTCGTATAAGTAATAATGCCAATCAGGATTAATTTTAAAATTAAAAAAATAAGAAAACTCTCATATCTCTGGTACATATTAATAATTAACAAATGAAATTGATCATTGAAAACGACAAACAAAACAAAAACATATAAAAATAACATATATTTTACATATAAAAATAAAATAGCATATATCTAGTTCATCACTGTTGATGGAATTACACAGCCCTTACTATTGTGTTGAGTAGCAAACACATCCCTAGGTTCGTTCTATAGAATTAGGGGAGGGAAGAGAAGAGCAAACGCGAGTGTGAATTGTGCCTGGGCAACGTAATCATATTTGTTTTGTTTGTTGTCTTCAATGCTCAATTTCATTTGTAAATTTATAATAAATTAATAATATGATTAATAATATATACCAGATATACAACGATGAAATTAGTTGAAATTAAATATTTACTATTAATTGTAACTATTGTGCCTGTTGCTCGAATTCGAGCAATTGCGAAGCATTACAGGCGACTCTAAGATTATGGAAATACTCACGATCTACTCAACAGTTAGATATAATCAAAATCCTTTGTAAATATCTTATCTTTTTTCAAAAAGCTGATCTTGTTTTTTAGTGTGTTTAGTGTAAAAATATACATTATTTCTATTTCTTCTACTTGGTTGTGTTCTATGACTTTTTCTATGTTTCCATTGTTTGCAAATCGGTTATTTCAATGATTGCTCAAGAAATTTAGCACAGTGTTAATTCAGTTTTATTTTTAGCCTATATCAAATTGTCCAGGATTTCTCGCTCTTTTCCATTGCAATTATTACCTACACCAACCCAAGTATCGTCTACAGATGCAATATGCCAAAGAATATCACCTACGTACAATCTCCAAGAAGTGGTAAAGAAGGCAGAAATCAACCAATAAAATAGATATAAGTTAACTCCATAAGAAATAATTTTAAAAGTTATTGTGATATTAGGATTTTCCACTGATTTGGTAATATAACATTATATTGCAAAACATGACACGATGCAGAAGAAAATCAATTTTGAAATCAGAAAAATCCATTGCAAACACTGTACTTCATTTTGACAAATTCAATAAATCACAATTTAAATACTAACAGCTGTTGCATTAAAAAGTAGTGTAGAATTATGCATATGGTCGTAATGTAAACAAATCTGAAGAGGCAACTTTAAAGGCTTCTGGGGCAGAGCCCCAAGGGAATTTACATCTTTCCTCTTTTGATGGCTCATCTACAGGCCAAGACCTTTCTTTAGAGACCCCTACCAAGTTTCTATGCCCAGCCGTTCTCTCAAATTAGCTGTGACAAAAACCCCGTTTTCCTCCATAAGAATAACATTGGATGGGAATTTAAAGGCCACGGGGGCAGAGCCCCAAGGGAATTCACCATGTTTCTCTTTTGATGGCTCATCTACAGACCAAGACCTTTCATTAGACACCCCTACCGAGTTTCTACGCCCAGCCGTTCTCTCAAAATAGCTGTGACAAAGAAAAACAGTTTCAAATTAATATATAGATTTACATTCGTACATATTACAATGTAAAAAATCTAGAAAGCCTGGACAATTTAATATATTTTACCATATAAGAAAAATGAATTTACATAGTACTGTATTTCTTGAGAAATCATTGAAACACCCAATTTGTTAACCATAGAAACATAGCAAAGTCATAGAACGCCACCAGGTAGAAGAAATAGAGATTTAAAAAAATTTACTATCGTTATCAAGCTATATTATGAAGAACACCTACAGCCACAATATGAAGATTCTCACAAACAATGAACAAGGATGTTAGCCGTAGTGCTACTATTTTTTAGGAAACCTGGACTAAACTTTATGATGATTGGCAAAGGAAAAGTGTGAATTAAACTGGTACGACAAGGACATTAATCATTAATTATATGCTTTCATAAAAGTCAAGTGATTTTAAAAGAAAGTGATCCAAGAAAACATAATAAAACTTTCATTGAAGGATTCTCATTATTCACGTTATTATTTACATTTAAGGGGGAAAAACATCTGAACGACATTAGGCCTTTCAATTCTGCATTTTTTCAGGTATGTATAATTTACGATATAACAGTAACTAGCCAAATGAATGCCAATTGATGCAAATAAAATTGCTACAGAGGGGCTATGCAGAAAATCAGGTAATTATTAGTCATGTAAACAAAATGTTATCGCTAAAAAAATGACTAAAATTTGTAAAAGTACTGGCGACAATGGGTGGTACCATGCAGACTACATTATCATTGACGAAGATCAACATGGATAACCTAATACGGCTATAAGTAGGACACATTTAAAAAACCGGATCAGCTTTTGAAAAATGATAAAATATTTACAAGAAATGTTGATTATATGAAACTGTTAGGTAGGTACGTAATCTATGAACTGGGTCTTTTAAACTCATCTGATATTATAATGACTTTTATTTGTTTTTAAATAACTACTTTACTTCTTTGCAATTGCTCGATTTCGAGCAACGTGTACACTAGTTATTACTTATACGAGGTAAATTAATAATTTCAAATTTGAAATGGTGTATTTTGTTTCTTCAATATATTTCAAAACACTATTTATAAGGCAAAACAACATATCTATAATAAATATCAGCTAATGTTTGAGTTTTAATGAATTATTGTGAGTGGCGAATGGACACTGTTGTAATTTGATTTGAAAGAGATTGGTGTATGTACCTATAATAATTTTTGTTTATTTAAATTAAACAGGTATTAGCTTTAAAACTTTAAGATTTAAATTTAAATTGCTTGCTAATTAATACATAGGATTCACATTTTAGTATAATTATAATGTTGGTATTGTATAACTAGCCGCTATATCCGTGCCTTTGAACGGGGTCAGTATGCAAAAGAAGCAATGCTGATTTTAGAAAATACTTAAAAAAGGGTTCGCACCCACCATTTACTCTAGAAACGAAATTGAACTGTATTACTTAAATTAATAATAATAAGTTATTGTTAACTCAGACTGTAAACAATTATTGAGGCTACCTATGATCCAAAATCAATGATAGATGCTTAAGTTATAATCAAATAATACGTTGAGTACTCTTTACTGTTTACGAGAAGCTGTCACACTAGTTCCAAACCTGTCAAAAGTGTAATATTCTTACATTTTTAAGGATACATTTTAGTGAAAATATAATCAGGAAAACGGAAGTTCACTTTGCCTGTAGGTTTGTTGTGGTGGGAGTATTTTATTACTTAAAAAATTAAACTCAGGATAACATCCAAGGTAGATACGGCAACGGTATTGGAATATAACTTATTTCACCAATTTACATTATCAAACACTTATTCGATATGAAATGCTAAGTTATTTCTGTATAATTTTTTTTTTTAATAACTGTGTAATCAAATGCATTTAACTATTCTGCTTATTTACTTTTTAACATTATGAGTTTGCTATTCGTTACCAATCTATTTATCAATTTTAGTTTTTTATTTATTTTATAAACTAAAATAAAATAAGTAAATGTAAAACTAAATTAACATAAAGAATTAATTTAATATTTTTTAATCCCATTAGGTATCATTACAATAGTTTCGCATATAACATATAAAATATGAACTGGGGTGGAAGGTAGGCGGTACTTAATTGACTCATGTAATTAAGTGAATCACAAGAAATTCAAACTATTTAAGAGAGGATGGACTTAAGTAAGATGAATGGTTTATGCTTCTAAAGTTTTTTTTTTTAGAAAAAAGTAACCTTAGACAGTGAATGTTGATCTTAACTTATTTTTAACAGGATATTTTTAACGGTTAGGCCTGGAAACCTACATAAACTCCAGAAAATATAGAAAGATGGTATTTGGTGACTCTTAAAAATTCTCATGATAGCGAACCTAGAGTACCATATTAATATTCATCTGAAATTAGAGCCTAACCACAGTTAATTCAACTGTTGTATATCTCTTTGGGGATTGTAGGACGAATTGGAGAGGAGACATGAACAATACCAAGGTTCACTCATATATACTCTCTACTACGACGATGATGATTTTGTCCGTGTTGGGAAGGATGGCAAATTTCTGGAGCAACCTCTAAGTAGATTTATGGTGAGTATTTATAAAACTACTCAATTAATAATAAATTAATAATAATTCATAAATAAACAATCTACAATCCTCTTGACGTACAATAGTCAGTCCATAATAATAATAATAATAAAAACATGCACAAACCCCATGCAGAAAACACTACAGTATATATAAAATAAGTAAAAAAATATTGATACCAAACATGCCATGCAAGAACAGGCTGCTATATAATAACTTTATTCAAGTCCAATCGTCATTGGTGAGAAATCTGCTTCATTATACTCACTTAGGCTATAGAAAGGGGTTTCTAGGAGCCAGTTTTCAATGATCTTAGCAAATTTTTGACTTGGCAGCCGTCTTACCTGAATTGGTATTCTATTATAAAATCTGATACCTACAACAGTTTCAGTACTTTATCAAGCCTGCATTTAGATACATGCAAATTACCACAAGTTGTAGTGGAATAGCTGTGCACATCTGAGTTGAGAATATAAACATGCTCATTTGATTTAATCGCTACAAGACACTAAAATATAAATACATTGTATACAGTCAGAATCTGACAAGCCTTAAATAGAGGCCTGCAGTGTGCAAGATGATAAAATCCACACAGCACGCTGAGTGCTCGCTTTTGCAACAGCAGAACTTTACATACCCTTTGTGAGTGACCCCACAGCTTACTGTCGTAGAGTATGTGCGTCTGGAAAAAGGCGAAAAATGCTAGCCTAACAAACTCACAAGGAGTGTCCAATTTTAGGCGTCTCAGAAGGTATTTGATTCTGCTGAGCTTCATACACAGATTGTCTATATGATTCACCCAAGTAAGCTGAGGGTCCAGTGTGAAACCCAACAGCTTTACAGGCTCATTTCCATATAAGTTTGTACATAAACTAAAAACAATCTCCTAAGTTTTAGATTCATTTAGGGACGATTTGTTTTTTCGAAACCATGCTATAGTAGTATCTAGCAGGTTACGAACAGAGGACTTAGCTGTTCCCCAGTCTGAATGACTTGAAAAAAGAGTTGTATCATCAGCATAAAATAGAACATTGCCTGATACCTTCTAGTACAGATCGTTTATGGCTACAATGAACAAGAAAGGACCTAGTATTGACCCTTGAGGCACTCCATTAATTACATTCAAAGGGAATGAAAAACAACGATTCCAATCTACCACCTGCTTTCTTTGACACAAATAAGATTTTAATAGATTCGAGGCAGTGCCTCTGATTTAATATCTCTTAAACTTTTCGACTAACGTTTTATGAGAAACTCAGTCAAATGCGCGTGAAAGATCACATAGGAGAACCGCTGTGGAACACTTCTGCTGAAAGGAACCCAACACGACCTAGAGGAGGGAGTCCATTGCCGAAATAGTGGACCTGCCCCTCCTAAAGCCGTACTAAGAGACGGCAAGTTTCGAAATATTCACACAGCTGCTTCAACATTACTGATTTAAGAATCTTTGCAAAATCAGGTATGATAGATATGGGCCGGTAACTAGATACCGGCTTTTATTTCTTGGACCCTTTTTGAACACCGGTACGGTTCTGGATATCTTAAGAAACTCAGGGAAAATCCCACTACTCAGACACTCATTTATAAGAAATGTAAGAATTAGTGCAATGATATGACTGACTCCCTTAAGGAATTCCACAAACATTTCGTTGTAGTCTCTGCTTTTGGAGGATTTAAATTGATTTATCAGTTTAACAATATCAAAAACATTTACCTTTCTCCATTCAAAGGAAGTAGGACCTATAAGCCTTATTGTCAGCCAAAATAAAATCAATCCAAGCAATGTCTAGAAATGCAGTTAATCTGTTTGTCTATCTAGTTGCCAATGTCGTTGAAAATTGCTGTCCTATATTTTTTGACATTTTTCAGAGAGATCAATATTTGGATATTAGTCAGATGTACGCCAAAATGGTATTGCTCAAAGTACGAACGTCATCTGTTCTTAAAGGTGACACTGAGATCTTTCAGAAAATATGCAAAGCAAAGGGAGAGCCAAAGCACTATCCTGTGGTGTACTTTGAGTCCTACAAAAGAGTAAGTGTTGAACCTATAACTCTAAACTTGAGTATGATTGTAACCTAAAGAGTGGAATTTAAGTTGGAAATTTTTTCTAATGATTCATTTGTTGTTTTTCTATGGGTAAATTATGTACTCAACGCTTCCTAAGTTTTTGAACCGATACCGTAGCTCATCCAAGGACTTACAATTCGATCTATATAATTTTAATAATTTACGAATCATTGGAAAAACTCAACTGAAACCATGCGAAATTACAGTCCTGTTCTATATGAAAGCTTGTTAAAGCAACTGCTTTTTTAAAATGCTGAAAAAAATTTGTCACATTCTGTAAATGCGTCAAAAAATATCCTCTAATCCTGGTTGAGATAATTCATAGGGCAAAAAAAGGAGTCTCTTAGCTTCTTTTTATACCCAGGCTTGATAAAAAATAGTGTCCTTATGATCATCAGATTTAGCAACTAAGAGGACTATTAGGCCATAATGTTCACCCACAATACCTGAACCTTTTGTTTGAAACATTTTCACCGGCCTATACCCAATAGGAACATCCGCATAACTGTTGGGAGTGTCCTGATCCCATTGTCTATAATGATGAGCCTACTTTTGATGGACTTGTTGGACAGAACAACATTGATATTTTAATTGATAAACTAAAGTGTTACGCACTTGTTATTTTTTGATAACTTATTAACTAAACTTTCCCATCTAAAAAGCTTTCCATGTACAGTTGCATTCTTTTTTATAGTGGGCTTGACCTAAATTTGTATTCTGCTCACTGGTGAGGAGTAGTACTTCATCAGGGAAAAAGTAGATTACCAGGGGCGATAATAATTGTTCTCAACCTAAGAGAGCAAGAGATTGACTAAATAGTACATACTGATAGGATGCTTCATGTTAAATCACTTAGTTCTGTCATATACATTAGTTTTAATAATTTAATGGCTGTGAATTGTTTCTAGTGCCATAGACAGTTTTATGTTCATAAACATGGTTATAACGACATATTTTCTCATTATATAATTTCCAATTAGTCCGCTAGGTCAACTTTCCTAATACTCTCCCACTATTATAGCTAGAAGAAGTCCAGAGTAGATCATCAAATATGATGAAGGCATTCCGAAAGTTGATATTTTCTCAAATGGGTATCTGTGAAAATTAGACGCCAGTAATCACTTTAATGTAGTTTAATTTGGAATGTTTCAACCAACCAATTAGTTTTCTGGGTAAAATGGTATTGAATAGAAAAATTCAAATGTCAATAGGTGTCCCAAGACTTTAAATCCCTTGTCAACAATTTTATTTTATTATTTTATTTAATTTTTATGAGAGTTAGTTCGACTTAAAATCAGAGTGTAAGAAGTTTAACTAGTAAATATATATTATTAAAAGGAAGTTTATTGATTCTAGTAGACATATGTATGTATGTAGTAGACTTTGCATTCTGCTTCACATTCCAAAAATACCATTAAATATGTAAAAAAATTGTGACTCTATTATTTCAAAAATGGCGGCTATTTTCCAAAATGGTAAAACACGTTAAAAGTGGAAAACTGTGTATTTTATGGTCTTTTAGGAATGTAGATGCAATTTTAAGCCTTATTTACACTTCGCATGTTTGCTCTAAACTTACTCGTTTAGGGGCTACATCATGTGAAATGTACACCGGAAGTCATATTTTCATTGGCTGTAACTCATAAACGAGTGAATTTATGGAAAAAATGTCACGAATAAACAGTTTTTTAAATTGCATGTTCTATCTGAAAAAAAATAAAATATAGGGTGTTCCATAAGAAGTTTTAATGTTGGCCACCATATTGTAAAATGGTGGCTGAATAAAAAAAAACTAATTCACATTTTTAATTGTCACAAAAAATTTAGGAATGTGCCACATTTAAAGTTTTCTCTAATTCTATCTGTTGGGGGTGGAGCCCCCCAAGGGGAGGTAACTGCTCGGTGTTGGAATCGGCATTGCAAGTAAGCCATAGTTATGGACGATTGGACAAGCCAGCCCCTTAGGGTAGAGTTCCCAGTGACATTCCTCCATCCAGGTTGGCGGGGTGTTTAGCTCTCGGAGAGGTGGAAGTGCGCCATCAATCTCCCATCCACCTGTGACTATGGTTCTATGGGTTTCGGCCCGCTTGCTGTGTGCGAGCAATATATTGTGTGGCAAATCCTCGACTTTAGAAGTAGCCTTTCCTGGAGGTGAAATCGGGCGAGTACCCGTAAGCTCACGGGGACATTCAAGGGGAACAGAACTTTCCGCAGTGTGAGGGCAACGGCTGGGAGCACTCCATCAGCCAATCCTTGTCTCTTAGCCCGGAAGGTATGGTTATCTAGAGTGTGGGGGGTTCTCCCTGGAACCTCAATTGAGTTAAGGGTGTCGCCACCTTTGGTGGATAGGTTCATCCTGGTAAGACCAACTTCTATTCCTGCCTCCTTTTGGGAAACCCTGATGGCCTGGCAGTGATGTTGGGCTAGATGGGCAAACGAAGTAGATCGGGTGCTGGGTTCAAGCCAGCTGGGGGTGTTCGGGGATCTATCGCCCTGGTCACCTCTGGTTTCCCAGCAACTGGGTAAGGCCGCGATTGGGTAGTGGTGGAAATGGGGGGTTGGGGTTCCCCCATCAGCTTGCTGGCGGTCCCTTTCCTCCTCGCTTTGATGGTGGGTTTTGGCCTGTCAGGGATTGGATAGGTCCCGAGTGTTGCTTGCACTAAATACGTCAGGGCATTTCATTATGGGACTTCAGGTTTTGTACCTGCTGGTTCCAGGTGGAGTGACGCTTAACCAAGTAGCCGGTATCCCTCGTTACGATTGAGGGGTAACCCTCTTTCCGAAGGGTTGCTTCGGCAGCCAGTGAGCCTGAGGACCTTAAGTCATCCGCCTATGGTGTGCCAAGGTTGGTGCGTATGCTCCGGCCTACACCATGGGACCCGGGTATGTTTATTATAGTTATCGGGTTGCAGTTGAGGGGCTTCGGCTCTTTCGACACAAACAAAATGCAAAATGCAAAAAAAATTTGGTGGTGGAATTAAAAATTATTTATTTAGATAGGTTTGGTGTGGTGCTACCTTCTACAGATGTCTTCAAGACGAGCGGGGTTCCTTGGTAGCAGCGTGGAGCGTGGATCCGGCGTCTCGTTCTGGGTCAGCGTGAGGGCAAAGATGCCGGGGAAATGTAATAGGCTAGACTGTTATGTAAACTTGTATATTAAAACATATATTTAGTACATAGGCAATGACAAATCATAGTGCCGGTGGGCACTAGCGTGTAGGTGGGGGCGGCCAGTCACTGCAACATTTTTACTCAATTGACGAGTTTTTTGCCGATTTCACTCTCCTCCCTGCTCGCCATTTGTACTCTGTAAATATTAATGATAGTTAAATGTTTTCATATTCAATTTTATGTATGAAGTGATGTTTTAATTTTTTTATTGACATGAACAATCCAGTCTTCTCTGGTAAAAGTTCACGACAGAAGGTAAAGGTAAAGGTAAAGGTAAAGGATTCCGAGTGCAAGTGGCGTCGTCCTGTCCTTGAGGGAGGGGGTAGCGTTGAGTATCAGCTGTATCTTGGCGGCAAATTCAAATTGGTAGCACCACATTTTTTGGGATGGATGGAAAGGAAATTCAATAGCTGAATTAATATTTTTTTAGGCTTAGGCCCTAACACTAACCGTTTCCGATATCCCAACGGTGGCCTCCTTGAGTTGATCACTCTGTATATGAATTTTAATGGATTGTGTTTTTGGCCTCTAGGGACCTCAAAACGAAAAGGTAAATCGATCCCGGGTCCAGGGACTACCATGAGTACTACGGTAATATCTTTTCCCCATATGGTAAATTCATTAAATATGGTAATCGAATAAACCATTTTGGATATAAGTGTGATTTAGTAAAACCTTGCAATTCCTAACGTTGAGTTGCATGGAGGGGGAGAAGCACCAAAGGGATTTTAGGGGACTTTGTATAAAGTGTACATCTTTTTGTGTACTAGCCAGTGGTATATAGTTTTGCCAGTCTCTAATTTATTACGGCACAAAACCTTTACTGACTGGGCTAAGTCAGCAAAGAGTTTTAGGCCTAAGGTTTTGGCTGGTTCTTCAAGTAAGTAATATATTCTGACACCAAAGTAAATTTTTATTCATCAGACAAAGTGCTAAAAAGACAATACACAAAGAACTCAATAAGTAGCTCCAGATTGTTTGCAACGTCAATAAAGATCAAGGTTATGTCGTTTATTAAGCTTTTATTGAATATTTCCATTTCTTCCCCAATCTTTACAAGTTTAGTAAAGCAAATTATAAATACCAACCTGATGTATTTTTTAATACTGTAACATTATTGATACCTGTCACTAGTCAAATTTCGACAACAACTACACTAGTTAAGTTAAACTGTTTAAAGAACAGGATTCTTGAAGTTGTTTTACTTACTATACATATTTTAGAATGTTTCTTCATATTTACCGAAGACCAAGAAATTTGTTTGATCAATTCATTTCTTAATTTTCAGCTGAATGGAATACTTTACTTAAGCACACCTGCTGGAAAATGGGAACATGTCTGGAATAAATGTCCAATCCAAGAAGAGAGGAATGAGTCGCTCCAAAAACCTTTGGATTAAAATAAAAGTTAATCATTCTTAAATTGTTACTTTACATTTTCTTAATCCCTAAATAACAAATATACTGTATTTACATGACTTTAAGAAAAGCCGTAACGAAACTTATTTCAATCCCCGTCTGCCTGATTGCATGCAGCAGCCTAATCAGGGAAAATTAGAGCACTGATCAAGATTAATTTTTTTTAACTGGATAAACTAAATTGGTCCAAATGCCTTTCGTTAGGTACCAAAATATGGCCTAACGTATTTGAATATCAAATAACCAGTATTCAAAATCCAGTTTTGGGGGGATAGTAGATATAATTTTCTTTTAGGATTTACATACATCGTTTAAGAAGTACCAGTAAGGTTTTTAAAGAATACGTAAACTATAAAATAATGATTTGCTGTTTGGAAAAAGACTAGCTTATTGGCCCGCTCTTACCTTAGGTAAATTTTTGAACAGACGATGTGGTGTTCACACAGGCGTCCTATAAATATGAGTGGAGTTTTCTATATAGGCAAAATTTTATTTTGTCATTGACTATCAAAGTTCATTATTATTTTTACCTATCACTTTAAATTGAGACAATATCTTTGTAGGGATTATTACTACAAGAGGACCGGTTCACGAATTGCGCAATTTAATATGGTCCAAACTTGTTCCCGAGGCAAAATGAATCCAATGCAATACCCATTAACCCTTTCAAAACTAAGTTTGTCAGTACAGAAACAGTAATTAAGTGAATACAACTACTAATTTGCAATACAAGTGTTGATTTCAGATCCATACTGTTAAAAGTTATTTAATACCTCAATCAGATCACATCAGTCAAAAAGTAGAATATTTAAATATATCACTACTGTACTATTATATAAAAATCTAATGATATGTGTTTATACGTGTATTACTAATAGGCAAAAAACTACTGAACCGACCGGGCTAAATTTTACAAAAATTTAGCTACCATACACAGAATGGTAATATGACTGATATGATGGTACACTTTGATACTGACCATGGGCTCTACCCCTTTGGCTTTAAAAGTTCTGAGGAGAGGATTTAAAAGTAAATGTCGATTGGTCTCCATGGCTGCAATAAGAACACTCACAATTTTTACATTTTAATGCTTTGTCATTTAAATGTTAACAATACGAAATGCAAAATTGCTTATTTCACAGTTTCAGACAGATGAACCAAAGAAATGTATGTGGTAGGTTTATTTAATCTAAAACTTTATAATAGCTTATTTATTCTAAAACTTTGCCAATGATTATAGAAATAAAAAAAATGGCGTCGTTTGATAGGGAATTTTAAATAATAAATAAATGTGTACTTTAGCTATTTAGGTTATAAAAATTTAAATGGCCGCTAATTGAAATTTGTAATTGGGAAATTTTTCTTATTTAGACCTTGTTTATGTTAACAAGGTTTATCATGTTTCATAATCATTATTTGAAAAACTTCTTAAGTCATAAGTCAGTTATTTGGGCAGATTTCCATATATGCATTGGCTCAGTCAGAAATTTCATTAATAATACAATCTGTTTACTGTAAAATAACTTTAAAAACTAAACAATGTTTAACAATTCGTGAAAAAGCGTGCGGGGTGCATGCGACTACGGCACAATAAAATGAAAAAAAAAATGTTCCAAAAATGATAATAAACAAAATAAATTCAGTAACACACTAACCTGATGCCTTAGAACTATACCAGGAATGGGGAAAATCTTTAGCTGACCAGAATTTAGGAGTGTAGTGTTGTGGTTTATTATACTAATAGAATAAAATATTTAGACATATTTTGAAAACATGATGTGTATTCTAAGTGAGTAAAAAACAACTGAACTATAAACATTTCGACAATTAATTCATCTTAAAACATGTGACAATAACACCAGCTGGTACACTACATATCTCCCCTTCTTCTAAGAGCTGACTGCCGTTCGCAAATGATCTGCATGACATCTCCGGTTCACACCATCGACGTTTACAAGATATGAATAGGGTCCATTTACTTTTACTATATTGCCTCGCTTGAATCCTGATCCGGACGTATTTAACACCCAGACGTGGTCATTCTCTTGAAATACTTTTAATTTTGATTCGTGTTTGTCCAATCGTTGTCTAACTAATTCTTTATTTAATTTAGTATCTGCGTCGGGGATCAGTAGGTCTAGTTTTGTTCGTAGTTCACGTCCAAACATCATGAAAGCCGGTGATTTTCCAGTTGACCTTTTTGGAGATGTCCTGTATGTGAACAAGAAACTTTTGAGCTTTTCTTGGACGGTTCCCACATTGTTCTGTGATGCACTCATACGTTCTTTAAATGTTCGAACACACCGTTCTGCTAACCCATTGCTTTTTGAATGATATGGTGTTATACGTGCGTGCTTGATATTAAGGTTTTTGCAGAACGTCTGGAACTCATGAGATGTCAACTGAGGACCGTTGTCACTGACGATAGTTTTGGGATAGCCTAATCTTGAGAACAATTCTTCTAAGGCATTGATAGTGGCTTTTGTAGTTGTTGTCGACATGGGTATCACTTCTAGCCATTTTGATCGTGCGTCTACAACAATCAACCACATTTTACCTAAGAATGGTCCCGCAGAGTCTATGTAGATTCTTGACCAGACTTCTGTTGGTACGGTCCACGAGAAGAGAGGCATCTACATGTCTTTAGGCCTGTTCTCTTGACAACCAACACAATGTTTTGTATGTTCTTCCAGATCTTTATCCAGCCTAGGCCACCACACTTGAAATCTCGCTTTACCTTTCATGGCGACTATTCCTGGATGTCCCTCATGGAGTACTTCCATTACTCTTGGTCTCAGTTTTGAAGGTATTACTATGCGACCGAACCAGAGTAATATTCCGTTTTCAAAAGAAAGTTCTTCACGCTTGTTGTAATAAGGTAAAACTTCTTTGTTGTTGGTAACATGTTCTGGCCATCCACTTCTAACGTAGTTTATTACTTTAGCGAGTATTGCGTCTTGTTTCGTTGCTTCTTGCAAGCTCTTTGAGGTCAATGGTAAATCCTGAGACCTGAGATGAAATAGATGAGATCCGTTGCAATCTCCTAGGCGTTCTTCGTTTGATTTGATTTTTGATTCAAGAGGAAATCTTGACAGCAAGTCTGCAGTTGTGTTTTCCTTTCCTTTTTGGTAGGTTATGGAATAGTCCTAGGAACTCAATGTTAGAGCCCACCTTGCGATTCGGTTTGAAACAACCTTAGGGATCGGATCATGTTCTCCAAAAAGCTTGATTAAGGCTTTATGGTCTGTCCGTATTTCAAAATGTCTGCCATAGAGATACTGCTCAAAACGTGTTACTCCAAAAACTAATCCTAGAGCTTATTTTTCTATCACACTATAACGGGTTTCAGCAGAGTCGAGTCGTCTTGAAGCGATCATCACCGGCCTCTCAGTCCCGTCCGAATATCTGTGGAAGAGAGCAGCACCCAGACCAACCTCGCTTGCGTCAGTGGCTAGTATCAGCGGTAACGATTCGTCATAGTGAGTTAAAGTGTCCGCTGTAGTTACCAAGTGTTTCAGTTTTGTTGCTATTTTCTCGTGTTTATCTGTCCATTGCCATTTCTCTCCTTTCTTTAATAGACCATGTAAGGGAACACACAATGACTGCAAATGTGGAACAAATTTACCATAGTAGTTGATTGACCCCAGAAACGATCTCAATTCTTTGACATTTTTAGGGGACGGCATGTTTTTCATCCCTTCTAAGTGCTCATTTGTGGGATGTATGCCAGTTTTGTCAATCATGTGACCCAAGTATTTGACTGAATCCTGTAACCATCTGCATTTTGACATTTGTGCGCGGATACCCATATCTGTAAAACGTGTTAGCACCTCTCTAACTCGACGTATATATTCCTCTCGTGTGGGAGCTGTGATTATTACATCGTCGAGAAGACATGCAACTCCTTCCAAGTCCGCCAGTACTTGATCCATTTTACACTGAAATGCCCCTGAAGCGATTTTAATCCCAAAAGGAAGATGGGAATATCTGAAAACCCCTTTGTGTGTGGAAATAGTTAAATATTTTTGTACGCAAGTGTCAACTTCCTTGTAACTTCCTTGTGTACGTAAGTAAGCATCCTTGAGATCGATGACTGTGAACTCTTGTCCTCCAGTAAGTTTCACTGTAATTTCTTCAAATATGGGCATAGGATAGTTGTCTGAAATCATATACTGGTTGATCGTGTTTTTAAAGTCAGCACATATGCGTATTGCTCCAGAAGGTTTTACAACAATCACTATAGGTGAAGACCATGTAACAGGCTCCTCACTCGTATTCACTGGCGCCAAGACTTGGTTTTCAACTAACCGCTGCAGTTCGTCTTCCACAGCTTTGCGTAAGGAAAAGGGCACAGGACGTGGTTTTAAAATAACTGGAACTGCGTATTGGGTCAAGTGGAATACTACGTTACTGTTTTTGATTGTGCCTTGAGAAGGATGAAACACTTCTGGAAAGTCAGTAACAATTTGTCTTACCAAATCCATACTATCCACACGAGTGGTATTGCTCGGTTGCAGAGTAACTGTACATACTTCAGCACCTGGTGGTAAAGGAAGATTGAACTTAAGTACTCAGTCCAACCCAAATAGAGGAACATCATTTTTCTTGACTACTATAAGCTTTAATTTTTTTTTAACTACCAAATGCAAGAACACTAACCGATGTTTCGCCTAGTATTTCAATTTGTACCCCCATGTAGGCAGTAAGATTTTCACAGGGGTAAAGTGTTGGTGATCCCACCGATTTCCACAGTTTTTCTCCAATAATGCTGTAAGCTGTCCCTGGATCGTAAAGCACTTTTACCTTACGTTTGTTCATTTCAACATTGATCATTACTTTGGAACCCTTTTCCAAAGTTCGTATTTGGTCAATGTCTTCATAATAGAATTCAAACAGGAAATAAATAATTTGAGTAGATAAGGTTGGCACACCGTGTTATCAGCTGTTCCAGTCATCCACGTAACTCATGCAATACCCAGGATTGAACAGACGGTCGT